TGTGGCTCAAGTGGTAGAGCACTAGCCTTGAGCTGAAGAGCTGAGGGACAGTGCCTAGGCCCAGAGTTCAGGCCCCACGACCGGACCAAAGAAAAAAAAAAAAAAAAAAAAGAGTCTCTTGGACTTTTCTGCTGTGGGCTCTGAAGTGCAATCCTCAGGCATGAGCCACCAGTGCCCCGGTTGTAGTTAAGTTTTAAAATGAGTTTTGTTCTTTTTCTTACTGTTTTGGCCATTTGGGTTCCTTCCCTTAAAGTTCCTTGTGAATTTTAGAATGGGTTTTTCTATTTTTCTAAAAGATACTATTTGGATTTTGATGAAGACTAAATTCATAATCCCTTTGGATAATACTGGAAGTTTAATATTAAGCAACCCATGAACATGGGATGTGTTTCCATTTATTTTTTAGATTTCAGCAATGTTTTGTAGTTTTCATTATGTAAATCTTTTCCTTCTTTGGTTAATTCCTAAATAATTCTTTTTGATGTTATAGTAAATGGAATTATTTTTATTATTTTTATAATTTCCCTTCCAGTGTATAGAAATTCAGCTGATGTGTTGCCTTTTTTTTGGTGTGACTTTGCTGAATCTTTGTTTTCAATATCTTAAATTTTATCAGCAGAGATAATTTTACTCCTTTCTAATTTGTCTGCCTTTTGTTTCTCCTGCTCAATTACTTTGGCTAGAACTTCTAGTACTATGTTGAAAAGTAGCAGCAAAAGTGGGGTTTTTGCCTAGTTCCTGTTCTTAAAGGAAAACTTTGGTCTTTTATCAATGAGTATGAAGCTGTAGATTTTTTTTTTTGTCAGTCGTGGACTTGAATTCAAGGCCTAAGTGCTGTCCCTTTTGCTCAAGGCTAATGCTCTACCATTTGAGCCAAAGCTCTACTTCAGGTTTGTGGTTTTTTTTTTTTTTTTCTGGTGGTTAACTGGAGACAAAAGTCTTACAGGTACTTTTCTGTCCCAGGTGGCTTCAAATCATGATCCTCAGATCTCAGCCTCCTGAGTAGTTAGGATTACAGGCATGAGCTATGGGTGCTGAGCAGTGATATAGATTTTTGATGGTTATCTTTCATTCTTAGAATTTTGTAATCAGAGAAATTTTTTGTTGTTGTTATTGTTGGTTCTGAGGCTTGAACTCTGGGCCTGGGCACTGTCCCTCAGCTCTTTCAGCTCAAGCCATGGCATCACTTCCAGCTTTTTCTGCTTATGTGGTGCTGAGGAATCCAACCCAAGGCCTCATGAATGCAAGGCAAGCACTCTACCACTGAGCCACCTTCCCAGCAACAGAAAGTAATTTTTGTAACCATTTATTTTTTTTTTCTTCCCCCCCTACCCTTTTATCTTTCTAAGCCTATTCTATCTACTTGGTCTATCTGGATGGGCTTTTGTAGTCAAGTGACTGGGTGATACGCCAATTTCTTATTCTGTCTCTTTGCTCTGCACAGTACACTACTTGGCTGTGATGTAGTTGCCCAACAGGAAGTGAAAGACAACTTGGAAGAAATGTACAACATTGACAATAACCAGGGATTGCATTTTTGACCAACATATAGGGAGTCTTTGCTAGATTATGGAAAATATGTTTAGTAGATTAGACTAGGATCTCAATGACATTGACCTTTTGTTTGAATGAATGGAGCACAGCTAGGCCTTGAATGTGATTTCATTAGTACCACGTTTTTCAGTCTTAGTTTTCTCTACAGAATAGACCCTTGTGCTAATCTAATTGGGGGAAATGGTCAAAAAGAGCATAAGTAGGAGAATAATAAAAACGTAGAGATTCTCATCACTCAGTCTCACACTATATCTCTGGAACTTGCCCATCCCAAGTCCTGACGGGCATCCTGTGAAACAAGCTGCTGTTTAGGCAGTGACTTTTGGCCTTTATTTGCCTGGGCAAAGAGGCTGGAATATTTAAGAATTATCACCACCTGGTAGGCTTCTTCCTTCACTTGTTTTGTGCTCTCAGAAATACAAGGGCTTTCATTACTTTCTCTTACTTTACCCTAGCAGCTATTTGTCTCCATTTCCTATAGACTAGAAATAGATATTCTAGACGTGTACTCAGTTTAACAAAATCCTACCACAATAAAACAGTTTAGCTGTCCTTGGAGTTTGTTATAATGGAATTTTACTTGTATTGAGGTGGCAGGGGAGAAGAATAAAGTCATTAAAAGAAGGAGTGTAATATGGCAGCGAGGGAAGAAGCAGATGGCTTGCTTTCACTTCCCCTCTTGGAAAATCCATCACTTATGTCTCACTTTCTTCTGCATCTCAAGATTACTTTCCTTTTTTTGGAAAAAAGGGGGGGTGTTCAGCTTTGTTTTCCTATTTAAAATTGTAGAAAGACACAGAAAACAAAACAACAACAAAAAAGGAGCTAATTATCTCTTGTTGGTTTACAAGCAATCCCAGGCAATCTAGAAACTTGCTTTGGGAATGGTGGTTTGCTATGTAAGTGAGAGAGACTAATGTCTTTCAGAATCCCGAGAACACGTGGCTGGGAGCAGGTGTGAGGGCTGAGATGCCTACAAGACACCAGGCGCTCACTGCAGCTGCATTGTTCATATCTTTATTTCAGAGTCTGGGCCTGGAGGTGGAACTTTGGTGCCAAGGCTCATTCCACTGCAGGAAGTAGACAAAACTTAGCAAAACATTAGTATGGTGTGAAGCAGGCTGGGACCTTGATATATTCTCCTGAGTGCAAAGACAGGTCGAGAGAGAGAGACGGGAACTCACTTTTCCACCGAAAACATCTGTGGCAGCGGTGTTCAGGGTAAGGCGCTGATCCTAGCAAAACGAGGAACCTGAGGGAATTGGGAGGATATGGGAGGTTTTGATCTGAGGAGCAATGAATGAGGTCATTCCCCCAAAGACTGGCCTTATCATAAGCCAGGCAGCTCTGGGGTAACACGGAGTTTAGAAGTGGTAGGAAATGTAAGCGTAGAGCCAGGCCAAGTGGGGGCTTGGGCTGCTCCTGTTGAGTTTCTAGGTCCATAACTGGAGGAAGAGGCTTGTCCTTCCTTTCTTCCTCTCTTCCCCAAGTGGGGGAGAAGCTAGATCCAAGATAGGTATTTGGTTATCACAAATGGCCATAGCTGGTCTCCTCCTTCGACAGATGTGGCAACATCTCCACATGGATCACTGCTCTGTGTAACTAAGTAACTAGAGTGACCCATTTCCTTCTCCTTAAGTGATTTCCCAGCCCAGTGATCTTTGGGGGGAAAAATGATGCTATACTCTTACGGTTTTGGCACATGGGACAAAGAATGGAGACATTCTGGCAGCAAAGGTCATACAGGGCAGACCTACCTGAGTAGTGGGGCAACCCTATACACTTGGACATGTCTGCTTTCTGACCTGGATCCTTCCAGCCCAGTGCGCCGCATGGCCTTCCCCTTGGTGTGTGCTCCAGTTTGCTGGGGATTAGGGCTTTGGGGCACGGCCTTGTGTTCCCGGATTTCATCTTCTTCTCTTCAATCTCGTTCTTGAGCTTCTTGTTTTCCTGCTGTAGATGGACCATGACATTGTGGAGCTGGCTGTGAGGAGAGGGAAGGAAGGACACGTGGGCCTTTGGTCTGCTTGCTGTGCTTAGCTTCCTGCTGAGGAGATCTGGTAAATGGGGACCATCCCAGGAAGGAGGGTATGGATACCCACTGTGGACATGGGACCCTGTGGAAGAAGCCCAGGCCTAAGAGTGGGGAAAACCTAGAACTAGTACTTCTGAGTCATTCGGTCGGCTCTGGATCTGTAGTCTTATCTGTTAGGTAGGGACAATCAAGCTGAACCTGTTAGCTTTGGGGTTTGTGTACAATCCTGTTTGACAAGTAATAGACATTTGACTGGAGGATCATTCATTTGTTAAGAGCAACTCTGGCCATGTGGGCTGGGGTGTTCATGGATTACTTGGGAAACTCTCAGCCAGAATGAATACCAAAGCATTGCTGAACAGTTAGGAGTATAGGAATCTTGGCTGTGTACAACTTGAGGAAATGTTTTTGTTCTTCCTTTTTTTTTTTTTTTTTGGGTCCGGTCGTGGGGCCCAAACTCTGGGTCTGGGCACTGTCCCTCAGCTCTTCAGCTCAAGGCTAGAGCTCTACCACTTGAGCCACTTCCGGCTTTTTTCTTTTTGCTTATGTGGTGCTGAGGAATCGAACTCAGGGCCTCAGGCATGCAAGGCAAGCGCTCTACCACTGAGCCACCTTCCCAGCCCCCCCTTTTTTTTTTTGAGATAGGGTTCTACCCTGGAGTCTAGTAATCTAGACTGGTTTTGACTCACGATTCTTTTGCCTCTGCTGAGATTATCGTCATGTACCACCATGTGTGGTGAGAACTTGGGAAAGTTCTGTGTGAGTGTGTGTGTGAATGTGTTTCCATTTTACAGATAGAAAGTGCATGTTACAATAGAGGTGGAGTAACACTTAACATTACCCTGTGTCCTGTGTGTTATAAACAGCAGCGATGGCTACCATTTGTACTTGCCATCACAACTGCACTTCCTCAATGTGAGAGCGGCCGGATGGAAGTATTCTGAAACAAGACTTTCAGAGCTGGAATTCTGGGTGTGTCACTGTGGAGTTCTGAGACCAGGGATAAAGGATTGATCTTCCCTAATTGTTTCTTTCCCCATTTATAAATGCAGTTTATACCTACTGACAGTCCTTGACTTACAAGCTTTTAATTTTGTAATGGTGCCCAAACCATACACATTCAGTAGAAACTGTACTGGGAATTTTGAATATGGATCTTTCCCAGGCTAGCAGTATGTGGTTCAATTCTTCCTTAAGATCCTGGGCAGTGGTAGATAGTAGGAGTCCCCCTATGTTCCCAATTGGCCATGGGGTTACCAGGCAAGATGACTGCTACTCTTCATAGCACTGTGCTGCTAAGCTGTGTCTGATAGGTTAGTTGTTGCACTTTTGATGGTATTGGGGTTTAGACTCGGGGCCTTATGCTTGCCAGGCAGGTTCTCTACAACTTGAGAACTATGTTCCCAGACCATTTTTAGTTAATTTTCAGATAGGATCTCATGTTTTTTTTCCCCCAGATCTGGCCTTGGATCACAGTCCTATGTCTGCCTCCTGTGTAGCTGAGATGATAGGCATGCACCACCACATCTGACTCTTAAATGCATTGTGTGGGGCTGAAAGGTGGCTCAGTGGTAGAGCGCTTGCCTTGCGTGCATGAGGCCCTGGGTTTGATTATTCAGCACCACATAAGCAGAAAAAGCTGGAAGTGGTGCTGTGGCTCAAGTGGTACAGTGCTAGACTTGAGCTGAAGAGCTGAGAGACAGTGTCCAGGCCCAGAGTTCAGGCCCCATGACAGACAAAAAAAAGCTTTTTTTTTTTGTTTTCTGTTTCTGGGGCTTAAATTCAGGGAATGGGTGCTGTCCCTGAGCTTCTTTTGCCACATTTTGAGCCACAGCACTACTTCTGGCCTTTATTGGTGATAAGAGTCTCATAGTCTTTCTTGTCAGAGGTGGTTTTGAACCACAGTCCTCAGATCTCAGCCTCCTGAATAGCTAGGATTATAGGTGTGAGGATCTGGTGCCCGGCTTCTTAAATGCATTTTTGATTTAATACTATTTTCAACTTATGCTGGCCTTATTCAGACAACCCCATCTTCAGTTGAGCACCTATGTACTGAACTCCTGGTATCTTAAGAAGATTAAGCAAGGTAATACGTGTAAAGCACTTAGAAGAGTGTCTCACATACCCCAACCAATTAATTATTAGTTGAGCTACTTTTTATTATTAAAAAAATTTCCTTTCAACAGGATCAAGGAAACTCAAGAATGATTTTTTTTTTTGGTGAAACAAAACATCTTAGATCTTGGTGCAATATAAAGAAAAACTTGAAATGATTTAAGTTTTTTTTTTTCAGATTCTGTCAACTTTTAGTTAACTCTCCCTAGACAATGTTTATATCCAGGGGCAAATATCACAGGCCTTTCTAGCGGAAATCAAAGAATTCATCTGCAAACTCTTCTCTGGGAATACGCTCTTTACAAACTTGGCTGGTCTTGAAGGTCCTCACTCCATGTGCCTTTGGCAGGAGCTGGGGTCCAGGCACTTCCCTGGTTCTGTGGCTCTCTGTCCTGTCGGTATGCCTGATGCCTCCAATAACCCACATGGTGCATCCAAAGTCCCAGTTGGCCTCTATGCTGCAGTGGTCTTATCCCTTCTGACCAAAATCTATAATAGTGCCTCACCCCTGAGTGTCATACGTGGGTTCCAGGCTGGATTCCTGTGGGCTCAGCCCCCTGGGGCAGAGTTTGGAGGGCAGCTCCTGCTTGAACCATTCTGTCACCAGTAAGCCTATCCCCAGATCCTTCCAGTAGGCCATAAACACACGGTCATTTTGGACAAAAGCCCAGGACGCCATCTCCTAGGGTCTGCTCTCACCTCCCAAATCTCAGTTTTTTTTTTTTACATTCATTCCTTTACCTCTATCCTGAAACCTCCTACACTCTTCCATCTTATCTCTCGGTGGGCCCAGCTTTGACCACACAGGTGAGGCAAGACTGCAGAGGAGGGTGGGGGTGGGGGTGGGGAGCATACAAGCAGAGGTTCCTTGATGATTGGGTGGAACAGAGGAACCCCCAGTCTGAAGCGCTCATCTCAGGACACGCCACGGTGAGCTGTCCCTCTGTGCTCCTTCATTTGGGGGAATCTGTGTTACGGTTGCTTAGTCCGTGGCTGTCTTTCAGTGCCTGTCCCCTTCTCAGCCTTCCTGACCTCTGAGAACTACAGAGAGGAGAACAGGAAGGGGCATGTACACTAGTGACCCCAGCTTGTCCTGCTGGTGAGGGAATTAAGGCCCAGTGTGGCCAAGGGCCCACAGATTCAGGACTTGAGGGTCCTTCCCTGGGGTGGGAGCTGCATGGTGATTGATAAAGCCAGGCTGGCTCCTGTTGGCCCTTCTTACTGGGTCCCAGGAGCAGCCAGGGTGGGGTGGGGTCACTTACTCCTTTTCACCAGTCAGCTTGGCAATGTATTTGACCTGCTCACGGAGCTTGTTTCCTAGCTTCTCGTTGGCGATCCTGTAAAGAAACGAACAGAGGAGTGGCTGATTCCCTCCCTAGCTTCTGGTGAGCAAGCGTGGCAGTGGAGATTGGGTCTTCTCAACAGGGCTTTGGCTGGACACCAGGCCGCCTCACATCACTCTGTCCCCAGAGCTAAGCACCTGGTGACCCAGAACTCTTCCTATTCGACAGGGAGGCACTGAACAAGTTTAAAGGGTCCAAGTGAAGCTGGAGCTCAGGTCGGGAAGAGAAAACTAGAGCCCCAGCAAAACTTCCCTTCCATCTTGATGCTGCCCTATCCCTATGCTGCAGGACTTTCTAAACCTGCCTAATGAGCTGGGTCTCTTGGTCTTAGCCTAATGGTTAGGTGTGGGCTGACACTGGATATGTTTCCCAGCAGGGCAGGGCAAGGCAGGGCAGGGCCAGGGCAGGGCAAGGCAGGGTAGAGTGTGTATGTGACTGACCACTGGCATGCAAGTGGTTTCTCATCTCCTCTGAGCCTTGGGACCCGCCTCCTCTTCTTCCATACTTACTTCTGCTCTTTTGCCCACTGCTCCATGTTGCACATTGTCTGATCATTTTCTCGGTGGATTCTACGGGTTTCTTTAGGCACAGTTGGTGGGTGCGGGCAGTAGGGCTTCCGAGTAAAAAGAAAATGAGAGAGTAAAGGAGTGGGAACAGAGAGCTTCATGTCCCCTGCCACCCTAAATCCTACGTCTTGTCTTCCTGTGCTGTCTATGCTGAGACCAGTGTCGCTCACATCACGTGATGTTTCTGAGGTCACTATTTAGAGCAGACGTGCATAGAGTAAGTCTCCAGACCAAAGGCATTGCAGTGACTTGTTCTAAAATAACGGTATGCTATAGCAACCGTTGTTGTTGTTGTTTTTGGTCATGGGGCTTGAGCTCTGGGCCTGGGCGCTGTCCCTCAGCTCTTCAGCTCAAGGCTAGCACCCTACCACTTGAGCCACAGCACCACTTCCAGTTTTCTGGTGGTTTACTGGAGATAAGAGTCTCATGGAGTTTCCTGCCCCAGCTGGCTTTGAACCACGATCCTCAGATCTCAGCCTCCTGAGTAGCTGGCATTACAGGCGTGAGCCACTCGTGCCTGCCCCCACCTTTTTTTGGTGGTGGTATCGGGGTTTGAACTCAGGGCTTTATGCTAAACAAGTGCTGTATTACCTACTTGCTCTACACCCTCAGTCCTTTTTAAAGTTACTTTTCAGAAAGAAGCTAATAGTACCTGGAGCTGGCCTCTGACCAGGATCCTTCTACTCCTAACTTCTGCAATACTGAGATCATAGGTGTGTAATACCATGCCCAGCTCACTGACTGGAATAGGGTCTTGTTAACTTTTTGCCTTGGCTGATCTCAAACCTCATTCCTCTCATCTCTGCCTCTTGTGTAGCTGGGATTACAGGAAGCGAACCATTATGCCCAGGCTGAAGATATATTTTCAACAGATGGGAAGAAAACTATTTGGAGGAAGAGCTAGCCTCCTTCTCGTTTGGACAAAAACTGCAGCCACCTCAAGATGTTCTGAGGCCTACTAACGTAAGTTTCAGTGCTCAGGTAGTAGGGCGTGTCTACTTAGCCAATTCTACCTTAGGGTCTAGGGCTGCTGTATGTATGGAGTGTATCCTGGAGGAGGAACACTCAGAGAGGTGTCTGAGTCAGAGGCAGCTGATGTGCTAGACGATCTCTTCTCTGGAATGAGGGGTTTGTGTTTGGTCAAAATGTATTGACCAAGCCATTAGACTATATTCGGGTTGAAGCAGGGGCTGTGGCCCGGTAGTACCTACCCCTGTATCACACTGAACACACTACCCGCTCACCAAGGGCTATGTGGGCAGGATGGTACAAAAGGAAGCAATAGTATCCAAGGGTTGCCCACCTCTTTCTCATCTGCAAGGAGGTTTTCTTTCAGGGTGGCCATTTCCTCTTGAAACGACCTGAGCTGTGATTCCTTTGCTGCCAGCATCTTGAGGTCACACTGGTGTTGTTTTTGCCACTGCAGCACTTGGTTGCTCATCTCCTCCAGCTTCTTGTCGAAGGCGCGCACCTGCCCAGGAGCACAAAAGGACAGATCACACAAGGACAAGGCAGAGAGGGTGGGCTTTCTTGGCCTAGGAGGACTTGTTGCGGGTATTTTATTTCCAGCGGCCAGCAGAGGGCGCTCCTGCTCTGATCTTCGTTACTTCTGCCCATCAAGGAGCAGAGTAGGTGGAGGGAATGTGTTAGCCAAAGGGCATGGCTTTTAAACGCTAAATAATTCTGGATGCAAAAGGTGACCTTGTGCGCCCCTAAGAGAAAGGCAGCCCAAGCCCCTGGCTTCTTCTCACCTCTAGTTCGCTCTCCTGGTGGAAGTTCTGCAGTTTTTTTAATTCCACATTGACCTTTTTCATCCTGTCTTCGTAAGCGAGGATTTCATCTTCCAGTTGACTTTTCCTCTCTTGGGCCTGTTGCAAGTTTCGCTGCAGGTTCTTTGTCTCTGTGGTCGCATGAGCGAGCTTCCAGTAAAGACAAAGGGGATGAAAGTGGCCATCAGAGCCCTTTGGCTCTTTGCTGAGTCCTGAACAGAGAAGGGTTCAGTCCCTCCCTGTCCTCTGATTGGCACTGATGGTCACTTTGCCTAGTGTTCCAGAAAGGGGTAGTTTTTGGAATGTCTGCACGCCTGTGTTCTCTCCCCCAGTCCTTCTTCTTCAAGTGTGATGAATTGATTTGTCGGCATGATCAGCGGGGGGAGCGAGGGGGTGGACAGAGCACAGTTTCCCCCGAAAGCCTTGCTCCAGAGTCACCCATGGGCAGAAAGATTGGCTCAACGTGGCTCCCATCTTTGCCTGTTCCTACCCCCCAACAAAAGCCTAACTAAGCAAGCCTTCTCTTGACAGGAGACCCAGTCCAGCCCCAGGAGAAGGGTCTGCGATGCCTGGAGGATAGCCAGCCCTGCAGGAAAGTGTCTCTGGAGTCTTTGGCATGTCTTTGCAAACTTCCCTAGGGATGAGGGGGTGTGGCCTCACCTTCTCCAGGGCTTTGGTCAGGTCATCTTGACAGGTGTGTGACTTCTGCGTTAGTTCCTCATAAGCGTCTTTGGAGACCATGTTCTGCTGGCAGAGCTTCTCTTTCTTGATAGCCGAGTCCAGCTGCGTCTGCAGATTCATTCTGGACTCTTTCAGGGAGGTTAACTGTGGGAAGCAAGAATGTCACTGCTAGAGACCCAGCTCCTGGACCTCTGTGGATAAGAGCTGGGCTCATTCCGCGGCTGTAATCAGTCAGTGTTCATGCTCACACCGTTACCTTCTCTGTTGTAAAAGGTTCGAGCTATCTTTCCAGGTTCTCATCTAATGATATTTAGAGTATTAGCCCTCCACTCCCTTCCCCTCCGCTTCCCTTTCCTTCCCTTCTCTTTCTCTCTCTGTGTCTTTCTCTCTGTCTGTGTCTCTTTCTCTCTGGTTGTCTCTGTCTCTCTCAGCATTACAGTTGTTTAATTTCAGGCCTTGTGTTTTCTAGTCTGGTGTTGTATCGCTAAATGAGCCTTGTGTTTCACTGGCTATTTATTTATTTTTGTCCGTCATGGGGCTTCAACTCTGGGCCTGGGCACTGTCCCTCAGCTCTTCAGCTCAAGGTGAGTACTTTACCACTTGAGCCACAGTGCCACCTCTGGTTTTCTGGTGGTTAATTGGAGATAAGAGTCTCAGGGACCTTCCTGCCCAGGCTGGCCTTAAACTGTGATCCTCAGATCTCAGCCTCTTGAGTAGCTAGGATTATAGGCATGAGCGACCAGCGCCTGGCTTCACTGGTTATTTTTAGGATGAGGACTCATTTCCCATCCAGGCCAGTGCTTGGACTGTGGTCCATTTACTTTAGGCTTCCCACTGTTGTCTGGGATCACAGGCATACACACAGAGTCTCCTTCTCTAGAGATGGAGTCTCATGGACATTCTGACCATGATGGCTAAGCTTGACAGGTGCATGCCACCACAGCCAGGTATGAGTTGTGAAAATGTCTCATAAACTTTCTGATTGAAGCCAGCTTCAAATCATGATCCTCCAGGTCTCAGCCTCCTAAGTTGCAAGGATCATGTGTGTGAGCCACTGGTACCCCATTTCCCGGGCTATTCTTAAAGAATAGCAATTCAATGTTAATAACTTTTTAAAATAGATAATATGAAGCCATAAGAATTGCTTAATGTTTCCTTTGTATGCCAAGATGCTCTCTATTCCTCCCCCACCCCGAAAGATGCAATGTATTCAGTTGTGGGAAATGTCACTGCTCGTGATGGAGAGGAACAGATGCTAGTGCTTCACAAGCCAAGTTCAGTACGCTTTTCTCCTCTGCTTGCTACGTAGTGACCTGGAGCTTCAGATTTTCTTCCAGCTGTAGACAGGGGAGCACAGCAATATCTATCTATCTATCTATCGATCTATCGATCTATCGATCTATCTATCTATCTATCTATCTATCTATCTATCTATCTATCTATCTATCTATCTATCTATCTCTATCTCTATGTATGTAAAGTTTTACACAAATGATACTGGATTGAAGCATAGTGCCTAGCTCATGTCAGATGCCATTTTCTATTTCCTGTCATTTTTACCGATGTGAAGTACCCAATAAAATGTTTCTCGTCTTATCCCCTTTCTATGTTTTATGACTAGCTCTGGAAATGTTCTCTAACAAATTGTCCCAAACAACCAATTCACTTAATTCTGGCCTAAAACACAACACCGAAAGGTTTGGTATGAAAGTCCAGATAGTTGGGGACTCCACTGAGGATGAAATAAAACTTTGCACATAGGAAAGAAATGTTTTGTTGGGAGGGAGGGAGAGAGAGAGAGAGACCTCATCTAAGGGAAGGGAAGGGTAGAGGCTGCAAGGGCCACAGAATATATAGTTGGCCGAGCCAGTCAGTTTCGTGGTTGCACCAGAGGTGCAGTCCACACAGGTGGATTTCAAATCAAGGGTCACAGGATCCAGGCTCTCCTTTCTCTGAGGTTCTACCTCCTTACCTGTGAGTTCAGATCATCGACAATTTTCTGGGTAGCACTGCATTTGTTGGTAGCAGATTCTAGTTGTGAAGCAGCATTGGTCAACTCTTCCTGGAGATGCTTGTTTTCATCCTGCAACTTTCTCCAACTGTCTTTCCACTGTTCCCCCAGTAGAGAGCAAAATATAGAAGAGAAATGTTCACTGAGTCTACTGTTAAAACTCCACTCTCTCCCCACCCCACTGTTCCTTCTCCTACTCCGTGGTCTTTCCCAATGTCCCTCCTTTCTCTCCTGAGCGCTGGATACCCATAACCTCTGCATCTCTCCCGAGCCAGGGAGGTTCATGAAATTGGCCCTGGATTCATGATCTGACTCTCGCCAGATTCCCCTTCTTACCACCTTTTCCTTCCTTTTTACTTCCTGTTGTAAAGCGTCAAGTTCATCCTCCAGCAACTTCTCCTTTTCTTTGCTCTTTTTCAACAGTTCCTGTTTTTCTTCCAGTGACCTTATTGTATCCTGAAGGTCACCTTCTGCCTGGGTTTTGGCCCTTTCTAGTTCCCTTTGCTGAGAAAATAAAAGGCAGAAAGACAGTCTTACACTACATTTGTATTTGGACAAAAATTTCAGACCATTATAGACAGAAAAAGATCAAGATATATATGAGAACAATCCTTTAGTTCTATGGTATATGCAATGGAAAAATGTGTTCCCGTGTGCCGTCAACAGTTTTTCTTTAATTAGTTTAATCAATTTTGTTTGTTGATCTAATTCCCATAGTGTCAGTATTTCCTCCCATTTACCAATCTATTAAGACAGAAACCTCTTTGAATAAAGTTTTAAACTATCTTAGAAGAGTACAAAAAAGAACAGTTAGGGAAGCAAAGATTTAAAATTGATCCACAAGGAGACCTTTTGAATTATTGAAAGAATAACATTGTTATTTGATTCATTTTGAGCTTATTCTTTTAAAAATGCTTATTACTGGCCATGGGAATTCTTGCCAAGTGGCTGATATAGCAACTAACATACATTCTGGGCCATCCATCTGCCTGGATCTTTCCAAATAAAGAAGGATTCATTTAACCTCAGAGCAGGACAGCTGCTGGTATTGGCTGCCTACTTGCCCTCCATACCTGGTGCTGAATGACTTTGCCATAACTCATCATGTCATTTATTTTTATATCCTGCTCAACTAGTGACTTCTGAAGCTGCTTCTTCTCCTTCTCTGCATTTTCAAGCTTTCTCAGAGCCTCTGCCAGTTCTGAGACCAACTCTTCTCCCTGTTTCCTAAAGCAAAGAGGCAACAACAAGGAAAACATTCCAGTGCCAATTGCTGGCAGGCTGTGGGCTGGCCTTCTAGGGAGGTCTTGCTTGTCTCATTTCTGGCTGTCATCCACTGTGGTCCAGGCTGGCTCCCAGGGAAGGGAACGGGAGGTACCTGTTTTCTAACAGCTCTGCTTCAATGGCTGAGCCCTTCCTTTGGTTTTTCTGTAGCTCTTTCTGCAGGTTCTCGATGATTTCCGCCTTCTCCTTCTCCTTGAGAATGCAGTTCTGCAGTTTCCTCTGGGTCTCCTCTAGTTTGTGCTTTACTTCCTCTTTCTCATTCTTACATTGGCATAATTGCTGACCTGCAGAAACCAAGAGACAGGTTGATGGCATGTCCATGTAGAAGAGCATATGGGAAGGTTGCACTCTCCAACAAGGCTGGTTAGAGTCTAGAACTGTTCTTTTTCCGTTTCCCATCTGTCCTCTCCATTTTATGATCAGGTCTAAAGATCTCTGTTAAATTATCTGCCTTCCAAAATTGGTTAACTACTTGTAGAAAACTAAAGCTAGATCCTTATATATCACCCTGCACCAGAATCAACTCCAAATGGATCAAAGACCTCGGAGTCAAAGCTGACACTCTGAAAACATTACAGGATAGAATAGGAGAAACCCTAGGTCTCCTTGGCACAGGCAGAAATTTTCTTAATAGAGACCTAGAAACACAACAAATCAAAGAAAGGTTGGACAAATGGGATTGAATAAAATTGCAGAGCTTCTGCATGGCAAAGGACATAGCTAGCAAGATCACTAGAAAGCCTACGGATTGGAAGAAGATCTTCACTAGCCATACAATGGACAAGGGTCTCATATCTAAAATATACTTGGAGCTCAAAAAATTAAATTGCCCAACAACAAATAGTCAAAGAAACAACTGCCCAATAAATAAGTGGGCTAAAGACTTAAAGAGAAACTTCTCTAAGGAGGAAGTAACAATGGCCAATAGACACATGAAGAAATGCTCAACCTCTCTAGCCAGAAAAGAAATGCAAATCAAAACAACATTGAGATACCACCTCACCCCCAGTTAGGATGGCATAATCAAGAACTCTAATAACAACAGATGCTGGAGGGGATGTGGACAGAAGGGAACCTTACTGCATTGTTGGTGGGAGTGTAACTTGTTCAACTACTTTGGAAAGTAGTATGGAGGTTCCTCAAAAGACTCCATATAGAGCTCCCTTATGACCCAGCAATCCCACTTTTGGGCATTTACCCAAATGTTCACAAACAAGACCACACTAAAGCTACCAGCACAACTATGTTTATTGCGGCCTTATTTACCATAGCTAAGATATGGAACCAACCCAGATGCCCCTCAGTAGATGAATGGATGAAGAAAATGTGGTATATATACACAATGGAATTCTATGCCTCCATCAGAAAGAATGGCATTGCTCCATTTGTTAGGAAATGGAAAGACTTGGAAAAAATTATATTAAGTGAAGTAAGCCAGGCCCAAAGAAACATAGGTCCCATGGTTTCCTTTATTTGCAATAACTAGTATATGTCTGAGTCAAGCAGAAAAGGTCAGATAAGGTGATGTTAGGGAAATGAACCCCAAGATAAGTATTCAAATGTTTTTTTCTTTCATGCTCTTGTTTCTAACATATTTATAAGATGATTTCTTTGTTGCTTTGTATGTCCCTCCCCCACAGTATAAACCTCTGCTTTCACTGTATTTGATGTTGGTATAATTTGTGAAGGGGAAGGGAAAAAACAACTCATTTAAATAGGGATACAGGTGGTTCCATTGCAACAATGAGATGTACAAGTTGTTATGTGGAAAAATGAACTTTACAACTTCGGTGGGGGGGAGGGGTGGGGGCGGATTGGGTAGGGGGGCAAGGGGGATGGGAAGGGATGGGAAGGGGAAACAAAGGAGGAGGCAACAATGCTTGATAAGAAATGTACTCATTACCTTGCCCATGTAATTGTAACCCCTCTGTACAGTATTTTCACAATAAAAAATTTAAAAAATTATCTGCCTTCTATCTCTTGGACAAAATTATGAAAATTAGTAGAAGTTACTCAGAGTCTCCTGCATTTCTTGTCCTGCTATGAAAGACAAATATTGATTCCTCCCCTGCTCCCCTCCAATGGAGTTTTACAGCCATAACTGGCTTACTCATCAGAGACCACTGGAATGTTATTATTTTTGGATGCTTTCTGGAGATTAAGTTTAGGATCCTGTGCATGCTAAGCAATGCTCTACCGCACAGTGACACCCTTGGCTTGAGAACTCTGGAATGTTAAAATCTCACCGACTATGAGGGCAGGAAGAAAGATCCATGTGGGATGGAGATGGAGAAAAAGATATGGGGAAGACGTGAGAGCTGGTTCAGTTTGAAAGGCAAAATGGGAGCTAAGTAGGTAAGTGTATTCAAGGAGGTTGCAGAGGACTTTGAAGGCTTGAGAAAAATATTTAAACTTGACTCATTGAGCAGAGACTTGGTATGAAAGAGTGCTTTAGGCAAACCAGAACACATTAGATTAGAGAAGACTTCCATTTCCTTTCTCCCATGCTCTTGCCTCAATGGAAGAACTCCTAAGTAAGTTGCTCACTTGTTTGTGTGTGTGTGTGTGTGTGTGTGTGTGTGTGTGTATAAGAGAGAGAGAGAGAAAGAGAGAGAAAGAGAAAGAGAGAGAGAGAGGCAGACAGACAGGGGAAGGGGTACTGGGGCTTGAATTTAGGGTCTCTCAATTTCCTTTTCTCTGCTCAAGGCTTGAGCTACACCTCTACTTTGGCTTTTTGCTGGTTAATTGGAGATAAAGGTTCTCTTGGATTTGTCTGCTTGGGATGGCTTTGGAAAGTGAGGATTACAGGCATGAGCCACTGGTCCCCAGCTCTCATTGGGATTTCTTCATGTCAAGTATGTTCTTCATGCTCCAGTTTCGACTTAAACACCATTCCTCCTCAAAGTTTCCTGATCTGAAAAAGGAAGACACCCCTCGAAATGTGGTGGACAGTTCAGTTTTAGGAATCTGAGTCAGAAGAGGAGATGGAGTGTCCAGGGGAAACAAGATAGGGTTGACCATAGCTGCAAAACCAGGCTGGGGCTGTATGTTTGGAGGTCATCAGCAGAGTAATGGAGCTACAAGGAGGGAGCTCACTAGAGAGAGTACAGAGAGACAGGGGAAAGGAAGGAAGGCAGAGTCTTCAGGGGTGGACTACTACAGTCTGAGCAGGGTGGGGAGAGAGAAGCCAGAAACAAGCTCTATGGATGAATGAGACACAGAGTGTCTCCAGAGCTGAAAAATGAGATTTTGAGTGAGAATGGCGACCTTGTAAGGTAGCATACAGAGAGACAAAGGACGCCCAGCCTCAGATCTTTTTAGATTGATAGCACCTTCACATAACATACATTTATCCCTTGAAGGTGGACAATTCAGTAGCTTTAATATACTCACTGGTTGTTTAATCACCACCAATACATCTAATTCAAGCACACTGTCTTCTTCCCCAAAGAAACCCTATAGCCAAGGGGCAAATGCTAGTAGCCTAAGAAAGCAGTCTCCGCAGAGGGGCAAGGACATGACCTCTGTAGTCTAAGCTGGGTGGAGAGCATGTGTTTGAAAGTGAAAGGGAGAGAGGAAGTTGAAAACCAGGCAGGGGAGGGGCCAACTATGTGAGAAGATGGAGAAGAATCTGGTGCAGAGCCCAGACTCTGAGCCCAGTCCTCCCTATGGGATCTTCATCTGAGAGAGTCCAGGGAAGGGTGTGTATGTTTGTGAGTTCAGCTGTGGTGGAGGTTTCAGAGAGGTGGTGAGCTCGGGGTAAGTAAGGGAGTTCAGAAGGGTGGAGGGACCCACTTGGAGCTACCACTGGAGGGGAGACATTGGGGTGGCCATCTGGGGAGGGAGGGGCAGCCTCACCCGTGGTCTTCTGATGCTGTTTGGATTCCTCCAGGAGGTCGGTCAGGTTCTGGACTTCAGCCCGCAGGGTCTCGCACTCCAGCTTGCTCTTGGAGTCCTGCCTGGCCTCCTTGAGGGTCTCTTCCATGTCTCTCAGTGTGGACTGGTTCTTCTCCAGCTCCAGCTCCTTTTTCCTGAGGAGGCACTGAACCTGGCTCACCTTCCTTTCCAGCTCATGAAGCGTATCTTCCTTCTCTTGGAGCAGCTGAAGAAAGCCAAGTGGAGATGCTTGGAAAGGCCTGAGCCCCAGCCGGCACAGTCTGTCAGGAGCAGCCCCGAGTCCTCCTCCACGTCACCAGCATCTCTTGCCTGGATATTGCCAGAGCCTCCTCTTTATGCTCTCTGACACTAGGATGGGTACCCCCAGCCACAGGGGACCTCAGAAAACACAAGTCAGGAGTGCAGGAGAGAGTGCTGGGAGTCAGGGGTTGGGGTTGGGGAGCACATTGTTAGCTTTGGCTAACAGCACCAGGGGAAGGGGCTGAGTATCACATTCACACAAATTTCATTGTAGCTTATGGCAATTTCTCTATCATTAGTTACCTTTTTGGTTAAGATCTTACTGAGCCTAATTTATATAATTTTTTTTTTTTTGGGTCCAGTCGTGGGCCTGAACTCTGGGCCTGGGCGCTGTCCCTCAGCTCTTCAGCTCAAGGCTAGCGCTCTACCACTTGAGCCACAGCGCCACTTCCGGCTTTTTTCTTTTTGTTTATGTGGTGCTGAGGAATCGAACCCAGGGCCTCATGTACACAAAGCAAGCACTCTACCACTGAGCCACCTTCCCAGCCCCTAATTTATATAATTTTATCAGCTTAATTTTATCAGTGGTACTATCATTGGTATAGGAAAAAATAGGTATAGAGGACTCAATATTATCTATGGTTGCAGGTATCCATGGGGGTCTTGGAATGTATCCAGTGGATACACTGGATAAGGATAGAATGGTTAAGGAGTCACTGCTGTATACAACTTTGGATATAGTGGATGTCCAAATAGTCTCTGCTGGCTTCCATCTCATCTAGAGAAGAATGTGGCATGTCACATTCTTAGTGCCTACAACACTGCTTAGAATGTTGTAGGGCCTCAAGAGTATTTGCTGAATGATACAGGAGAGGCTTAGAGATGTCTATTCAGACTCCTTGCTTCATGTCGCTCTGTTTCCTCTTACTTTGAAGCAAGGGGCTTTACTGAGCAACCAGTCAATCCAACGGGATGATAAGTGATAGGGAAGGCTAGTGTTGGAACAGTCCTGACTGTAAAGTTTGCACTGGCTTCACAGTCTTTCCATTCTTGGTTTCATTTCAAGGCATTTCTGGGAACTTAGTTCATGTTGGCAACTACAACTCATCTAGGCCATTGCATAACACCATTAACATTTCCAACTGCTTTGTGTATTCATAAGATTTGTAATTTTAAAAGGTGGAATTCACATAGAATTCTTAATAAGGAGACTTCTTATTTCTTTTATAGCATTTCCTTCCAATTCAAGTGTGAGAAAAGTATAAGAGAACAATGCAAGTGTGTCTCAAACTTGCTTGTTACCCTCAAACTTGCTTGTTACCCTCAAACTTGCTTGTTACTCTCAAACTTGCTTGCTACCCTTCAGGATGGGGGACGGTCCTTTCTTATGCCTCTATAGTCCCAACATAATCTATACAGTTATTACATGTTACAAAAAAAAAAGTGCCAGAACCAGGTGCCAGTGGCTCACGCCTGTAATCCTAGCTGCACAGGAGGCTGAGATCTGAGGATCTTGATTCAAAAGCCAGCCCAGGCAGAAAAGTCTATGAGATGCATATCTCCATTGAACAATCAAAAAGCTGAGAGTAGAGTTGTGGCTCAAGTAGTGGAACACCAGTTTTGAGTACAAAAGTTCAGGGACAGTGCCCAGGTCCTGGTTCAAGCCACAGGACTAGGACCAAAAACTTCCAGAGAAATACCCCAAGCTGTGTCTGGGACAAAAGAGCACGCTGGGACACTGTGCAGTGTCTCTGGTAGCAAGTATAGTGGTGGGGGTGGAGAGGGTGGCAGAATTGGTTTAGCCCAAAGCCCGGTCTCACACCTGCCAACAAGAAAGCCCCTGATCTCACCTTGTCTTTATCCAAAATCATCTTTTTTGCCTCTGCGCACTGCAGCTGTAGCTCCTCCAGCTGGCGCTGCAGAATGCACATCTCTCTGTCCTTCTTCTCGCTGTGGGCAGATGACTCCTCCCGTAGCCGGTGCAGGTCCAGCTCCAGCTTCATCATGTCTACAATGGGTGGACAGGATGTGGTTGCTCAGAAGAGAGCTCCGCTTCCTTCTGGCTCTCCAGCTGAGCCCGGCAGCCTCGGCTAACCCTTCATGATGTTCTTCTTCTGCTCTGACACCATTTCCAGTTCCATGCGCAGGTCCTTCACGAGGTTCTTGTACTCCTCCACATGTTGGCACTGGCTGTCCTTCTGCTCCTGCAGGTGTTTCAGAATCTGGCATCAGGGAGAAGAGCAAGGAAGCATGAGGACATTGGAGACATGTCCACAGTGCAACTTTGAGCAGGCGCGGGGGATGGTAGTGCTTGCCAGGGACTAAGGAGGGAGGGGGAGCCACTCCATGGAGTTTCTCTGGGGTGGTAAAAACGCCCTGGAATTAGATAGCGATGAATTTTATGGTTTGTGCATTCTCTTTATTGTAGAGGTGATGTACACAGGGGTGACAGTTACATAAGTAAGGTAATGTAAAGTAATGAGTGCATTTGTTTTTCTTTTCTTTTGCCAGTTATGGGGCTTGCACTCTGGGTTTGGGTGCTGTCCCTGAGCTCTTCAGCTTAAGGCTAGCGCTCTACCACCTTGAGCCACAGGCGCCATTTCCAGTTTCTTGGAAGAAAGTCTCAAGGACTTTCTTGTCTGGGCTGGCTTTGAACTGTGATCCTCAGATCTCAGCCTCCTGAATAGCTAGGATTACAGGCGTGAGCCACTGGTGCCTGGCTCATTTCTGCAGTGTTACCCCCACTTTCATTTTCTCCTGCTTTCCCCCCTTCACAAAAATTTAAAAAGAGAATGATTTGAAGAAGGATGTTGCAGACTGCTCATGTTTACACAGAATGTACGTAAAGGAAACAGGCACTGATGGAGCACTGTACACTCCAGGCACTGTCCTAGGTGCTAGAGACTGTGGAACAATGAACAAAGACCATGAATCCTCAGTCTTGCTGGAAATGACCTTCTAGTGAGGTGAGACCAAGGGCATAATAAGTAGTGACTTATAGAAAAAGTCAAGCATTGATGCATCCATGGGAAAAACGGGACAGCAAAGGAGACATGGAGGTCCAGGGGAGCAGGGAGGAGTATGTGTGCTGCAATTTTAGACAGGAAGATGGGCTGGCCTCACTGAGAAGGGGGCCTCTGAGCGCAGACCTGGGAGGAGGAGGAGGATCCCTCTTATAGGTATCTGAGAGGGGAGCTTTGTAGGGCAGAGGGATGGGCCAGTGACAAGAGTCTGCAGGAAGGACACCAGGGAGGCCAGTGGGGTTAGCATGGGGCAGAAGATTGGTGTGTAGGAGGGCATGGGGAGTTACGGGCAGTCGCATCTTGTGGGGGTTGAAGTCCCTCTACAAGAACTGTGGCTACTCTGAAAGAGTAGAAACACTTTTTGTTGTTGTTGTTGTTGGTCGTGGGGCCTGAACTCTGGGCCTGGGTGCTGTCCCTCAGCTCTTCAGCTCAAGGCTAGCCTCTACCACTTGAGCCACAGCACCATTTATGGTTTTTTTTTTTCTGAGTGGTTTATTGGAGATAGGAGTCTCATGGACTTTCCTATCCAGGCTGGCTTTGAACCGTGATACTCAGATCTCAGCCTCCTGAGTAGCTAGGATTACGGGCATGAGCCACCAGCGCATGGCTAGGAAACACTTTTTTCTTTGGGTGGAACTGGGGACTGAACTCAGGGCCTCATTTTTGCAGGACAGGTGCTCTACCCACTTTAGCTATGCCTTCAGCCCATTTCTGTCTTGATTGCTTTTTTATTTTTATTTTTTGATGGTTGTGGGATTTGAACTCAGTGCCTGGGCACTGTCCCTGAGCTTCTTTGTGTTCAAGGATAGTACTCTACCACTTGAGTCACAGCCTTACTTCTGGTTTTTGAGTGGTTAATTGGAGATAATATTCTCATGGGGACTTTTCTGCCCAGGCTGGCTTTGAACATGATTCTCAGATCTCAGCCTCTTGAGTAGCTAGGATTACAGGTCTTGTCTTGGTTATTTTTTTTTTGGTCAGTCCTGGGGTTTGAACTCAGGGCCTGGGCACTGTGCCTATGTCTTTGCTCAAGGATAGCACTCTACCACTTGAGCCACAGCACCACTTTTGGCCTTTCCTGTTTATGTGGTAATAAGGAATTGAATCCAGGGCTTCCTGCATATTAGGGAAGCACTCTACCACTAAGCCACATTCCTAGCCCATTTTGGTTTTATATATATATATATTTAGTCAGTCATGGGGCTTGAAATCTGGGCCTGGGTGCTGTCCCTCAGCTCTTCAGCTTAAGGATAACACTCTACCACTTGAGCCATAGCACCACTTCTGGTCTTCTGGTGGTTTACTGAAGATAAGAGTCTCATGGACTTTCTTGCCTGGGCTGGCTTTGAACTGTGATCCTCGGATCTCGGCCTCCTGAGTAGCTAGGATTTCAGGTGTGAGCCACTGGTACCCAGTCATCCTAGTTATTTTTGATGTAAGGCTTCGCTTCATGGTCATAACCTGGGTTGTAATCCTCCTACTTGAGCTTCCTAGTGTCCTGGGAATGATAGGTATACTTGGCCTTTGTACTTCCTCTGTAGCTGATATGACAGGCACAATCCACTACACCCAGTTGTTGGTTGAAATGGAGTTTCCTGCACTCTTACGCACTGGCTGGCCCCAAACAGATCCTTAATCTTAACCTCCCAATTAGCTGGGATTACAGGCTTGAGATAATGCACCTGATAAAGGAATATTTTGTCACCTAGGGGAGGCAGGGACACATGACTGAAGAATGATTGATTGCTTGGGCCTCGGGATGCTGGGTAGAGTTGTTAATGTGATTTCAGAATGGACAGGAAGTAGAAATATAGTCCAAAGACAGGAGAAAAGTGTGGGTACTGTAGGATTAAAGGTTCATACTAGGGTGGCACCGACTGACAGGGCAGTAGGGGACAGCTGTATCAAACCATGTATGCATCATTTCACACATAAAGGCACATACAGGCAGCATGAAGGCTCGGATGGGAACTATAAAATGGCTATTTTATGGGGAGGTTTCTCATCTGTATCATTTTAAAAATGGAGTGCTATGAGGTGTTGCCATAGGTCAGATATGAATAACATGAAATTGACTTTCAAAATAAGTATTGATGGTATCTGCAGTAACAAAGAAGAACGACTACAAAGTTCAATATTGATCCCTTGTTCATCCAACTTTCTGCAATTGGAAAGTGAGAATGAGAAGTCTCTGGCTCCCCATGATAGGACCCCCTGGGGCAGATCATGTGTTTGTTCTCTCTCTCTTCTCTCCCCACTGCAGCATCCAACGTGCCCCACCTGACCCACACAGTACAGGCTCTCCAGTGGCTGGCTCTGCCATGCACCTTACGTTCAGGTAAGACTGGCCTGTCAGGACCTGGCCTGGCAGACCTTGATCATTGGCTCATCAAATCTCTGTTTCTATGGCTTAACTTTTATTTATTTTTAAAATCAATTAAAATGCTCTGAATGTTCTAGAGTTAAAAAGGGCAGGAAATTGCATTCGAAATCCTCCCTAGATCTGCAGCTTTCAATTCTAGCTAGACACTAGGTGGATGGTCCTTTTGAATTCACCAAGCCAACAGGAATACCATCATGTTTAGGTCTATCATGAGAAGTTGATTAAGAGATAGACACAATTCTAAAATCCAATGCTCGCACCATCTTTGGGGCTTGATATACATTATACACAGAATGCCTGTAGCAGAGTCAATTAAAGCCACACAAAATGTGAACTATAATAGTTTGAAAATAAAAATAAGCTAGATGCTAGTGACTCATGCCTCTAATTGTAGCTACTCAGAAAGCTGAGTTCTGAGGATCAAGAGTTGAAGGTAGCTTGGAGAGACAAATCTGAGAGACTCTCATCTCCAATTAACCCAAAAAGAAATCTGGAAGTGGAGACATGACTTAAGTGGTAGAGCACCAGCCAGGAGCAAGCAAAAACACCTGGCTCTGAGTTCAAGCTCGGATTCTAGCACAAAAATGAAATAAAATAGAAGTAACCAGGAAAGCTTAGAAGAAAACCCAGCTCAGGCTGATCCTGCCAGGCACAAAGAAGCCAAAGGGCTGTCACCTTTTTGATGTCTTCAGCGTCTTCTGAGCAGCTAGGAGGGTATCTGTGGGTGGCTGTATAGGAAGCGAAGTCAGCTTGTAATTTGATCAAAGTCTCTTCACGCTCCAGAACCTGGGAAAGAATACAAGTCAGTCACAGGGTGGATGATCAACAGCATATGACTATTATTGCTTTGCATTCCTTCTTCAGGAGAAGTTTGTTAACACGATGATGTAATTTCACTGTGTAGTTCCCATGGGGTCAGCGGGAAGAAGGAGTTATGATCTCAATCTGGGATCAAGGAGTGATTTGACTCCAGCCTGTCTGTGACCACATTTTGGACCCTCTCCTGAACTTTTGGGGGATCCACTTTATGAGCTAAAAGAAGGTTCTTTGGAGGCGATGATGGAGACATGTGCTTAAGCGATTAGATGACATGATTTAGGATCTGAGAATTAAGGGAAAGCATTTCTTATGCAATGGGTGAATGCACATGTATAGCAAGAAAAAGTTAAAGAACACTCAGTTTTCTTTTTAATGTCATACGTTTTGAATTTATGGAAAACAATTCAAGCAAAACCCAAACATTGAAAAAAAGAAAGCTTCCACTTCTGCCCTCTCTTACTTCCATGAAGAGAGGGAGAACATGATTGAGAACTGACAGTATATACATATGATCAGTGATTTAAAAATCTTAAGAAATTACCCTTAGTTGTATAAAGGGTTTCAAGTCAACATGCCAGTTTATGAGTACCATGCATTAGTGGTCATTGATTTAAAAAAACAAAAGTTATGCTGGGTGCTTGTGGCTCACATCTGTGAACCTAGCTACTCAGGAGGCTGAGATTTGAAGATTGTGGGTTGAAGCCGGCCTAGGCAGAAAAGTCCCCAATTAACCACTCAAAACCCCAGAAGCAACGCTGAGGCTCAAGTGGTAGAGCGCTAGCCATGAGCACAAAGAGGCTGAAGGACAGTGTAGAAGCTCTGAGGTTCAAGCCCCACAACTGACAAAAAAAAAGTTAGATCACACTATACATGGGATTCTGCAATTTACTGTCAACACATGCCACAAACTTCCTTGCATGCAGCTCTAACACATCTACTTCACCCATTTTATTGACAGCATATTATCCTATAATATAGATATTTTAAAAGCATTTCTCTCTTCATTTTGTTATTTATTAACCTGTGAATGGGCACTTAAGTTGTTGTGTGAGTGGTTTAAAGTTATTTATTTATTTATTTTAAGAATCTAAAAATTAAGCCTGTGCCAGTGGCTCATGCCTATAATCCTAGTTACTCAGGAGGCTGAGATCTGAGGATCGTGGTTCATAGCCAGCCCGGGCAGGAAAGTCTCTGAGACTCTCATCTCCAACAAACCACCAGAAAACCAGAAGTGGTGCTGTGGCTCAAGTGGTAGAGTGCTAGCCTTGAGCGCCCAAGCCCCCCCCCCCAGTAACCTCCCTCCCCCACCCCCCACCTCCGGTGCCAAAAAAAATCTGGAAATTAATAAAAACAGGAGAGATGCATTTGACAGAGGATGTGAACCAAAGGTGGTGCAGGTCTTGGTGAAAAGATTAATTTAGATGATACTCTTTCCTTTGTTTCTTCCATATGGCTTATTGAGGATTTTTTTCAGACAAATGTTCTAGAATGAGGCACTTACCAAAGCATTGCTGCAGGCCAGCTTATTTCGAAGCTCCTGGACTAGGTCATCCTGTTCAGAGACCTTTTGCCAGACTTCAGACAGTCGTTTCAGGGTCTCCTGATGCTCTGGAGACATGCAGGGAGAAGGGCAGACCCGCACCTTTGAGTGATCACCTTTGTTCTCAGGATCCTGGGGTATTTAAAAATAATGAGTTGGGCTGGGTGCTGGTGGCTCACCCCTATAATCCTAATTTCTCAGGAGACTTAGATCTGAGAATTGTGGTTCAAAGCCAGCCCAGGCAGGAAAGTCCATGAGACTCTTATCTCCAATAAACTACTCAGAAAACAATCAGAAGTGATGCTGTAGCTTATGTGGTAGCGTACTAGCCCTGAGCAAAGATGAAACTCAAGGACAGCAGCCAGGCCCTGAGCTCAAGTCCTAAGACTGGCACACACACATAAAAGTGAATTGGTTTTGCCGGGTACCAGTGTCTCATGCCTGTAATCCTAGCTATTCAGGAAGCTGAGATCTGAGGATCAGGGTTCAAAGCCAGCTTGGGCAGGAAAGTCTGTGAGACTCTAATCTCCAATAAACCACTAGAAAACAGGAAGTGGCGGTGTAGCTCAAACGGTAGAGTATTTGCCTTGAGCTGAAGAGCTGAGGGACAGTGTCCAAGCCCAGAGCTCAAGCCCCATGACTGATTAAAAAAAAAAAAAACAGAAGGAAAAAAAGCGAATTGGTTTCATTTCTTATTTGTGAGTCAGCAACAGAATTCCGTAAGCATAGAAAATCTCTAAGTACATGTTTATATATGGGAGGTATAGATTCCGTAACATAAAGAAAAAACAGTTCTCCAAGAACTATGCTTTTTTTTGTCTTTTTGATAATTGTTCCTTAGATATCTGAAATCATCCATGAAGGTTATTATCCTCTCATTAGTCTGTACTAATAACAGGGCGAAGTTACACACAAGGTTAAAAAAGAAGTATAGAGAGTTCTGGTATAGATTGTAGATCCTGTTCCCATTAAACTTGTCTCCCTAACTGGGCTTTTCAGGCAAAGTTAGAAATAGTTCATGTTCACTGAGCATGAAAGCTGCCCATGAGCGGGCTGCAGAAAGGTCAGCCAGCAATCTAAACGTGGTCACAAATCATATTCATGTAAATAATTTAGTATATTAGCAGACAGAGAATACAACAGTTAAGAAACTGTTTAGGTTCTAATACTTTCTTAACACTGTAGGAATAAAAAAGGACTGATTTAAAAGCAATAGAAGAAAAATTCCTTGAAGGAAAAAATATAAAATTTCATATTAAAAGTCATATATCAATATATGATATCTATCTACCTACCTACCTACCTACCTACCTACCTACCTACCTACCTACCTACCTACCTACCTACCTACCTATCAATCTATCTAATGTGAAAACTAGCAATTTAAAAACCACGGTCTGCAAAATTCAAGGGCAAGGGATGACATTTGCCTGGAGTTTTGGGTTTCCGGTGAAAGAGGCTAGGACCATGAATGGGACACAGCTGCGTGTACGTCTGCTTGCTGGAACTCGTGATCTGAGGAGTCCGAACACCGAAATCCTACCTGACTGACAATCCCATTGAGCTCGCCCTCCAGCATCTTCACCTGGCACTCCAGTAACTCGATGTTGCTCAGGGAAGTCTGGTATTTATCCCTGTAGAGATTTAAGCTTCTTTCTAGGGAGACAATCTTGTCCCCGGCCAAGGCAAGTTGCTTGTGTGCCAGAAGGAGCTTCTCCCCTGTATCCACGTTATGATTTCCCATTTCTTCCTCATAGAGGATTACCTGTTAGTGCAGGAACAAAAGCTCACTGAGCCTATGCAAGCATCAAATGAGGAATGGATATGGTTCTGAGACTCCAATCACGGCAGTTTTCTATCTAAACTAGAAACCCAGACGTATGGAATAGGGACAGCATAGATTTAAAAGCTGTGGTAAGTAATATCAAGATGGGAATGAATAGGAATAAAGATCATCCTATTTGCAGGTTAAGTTCTTTAAAGGAAGAGATCTTTCTATGTTCCATCCTGTCCAACATTTGGAAGGAACTCAGTAAATACTAGTTGAGTCACAGGAATGGATTTGTATTGCTCCATTTTTAAGGGTTTGAAATTTCAGTATCCATTCTTTTCCATACATTCTCTAGAGATCTAATTTGGAAAATGTACAGACCCTCATGCACACAGTTCCCTGTCAGCAAAGTTTCCAAGAGAGAGTGGGAGAGCATGACCCAAAGTTCCTCTGAGATTTGTAGGATCCTTATTTAGATTCCTTTTCTTCCTTATCAAGTAATGAGCTGCCCAATGGTCATGAGCATGTATACAAATGAGACATAGTCTCACCTCTCAAAGACTTCAAAATACTCACAACTTGGGGAGATAATATAAAACTGGCTCTGTTAAGTTTCGCAGCTCAAATTGCATGTGTTAAAGGGGTTGATAGTTCTAATAGCACATATTCCATTAGTTAGGCTAATTATACTTGCTGCCTAATATTTGAGCTTCTTCTCAGGAAAGGGCCATTTAGTTTAAGGTGTTTGTTAGAAAAGAAGAAGAGAGGGGTATTTTAAATTCATGTCTGTAACAGAAGCTGTCAGTGGCCTACTCACATCCAATTGGAATTCAGTATTTGCACACCAGGCTCCTTCCGATAGCTCTTTCTCTGAGAGCTTTTCTTATTCAGAGGGCCAAGACAGTGGCGGTTGAAAGTGTTGGTGAGTACCCTCAGAAGCGGCCCTCAACTTATAACTGGGTTGATAGAGTGGGTTAATTTAGAGGCATGTTCTATTGTAGTATCTCCCAGAGCTCCCAGGGGTTACAGCAAGTAACTTGCTCCATAGTGATTGCTTCACTGACTTCCTGCTCCTCTTTGATCATCACTCTAGTGCTTTCTGGAATCATCTCCTGAGTGAACTACCTATTTGGATTTGTATGTGCACCCCAGGGGGCTTGCTGTTGGCCTACCTTAGGCAGAAGTTTGATGCTTCTGTGTAAATTTGTATGTATTTCCCGCCCCCCCCCCAGCTCCTTAATTACAGAACCTTGACTTGATTGGGTGCAGGAGTATACCTCCCCAAAAGCCGCATTCCCATGCTTCCTGGGAACTAGCTGGAGCCATGTCACTAATAATGGACAACAGCATGAAAAGTGTCCTAGAAAGGAAGCAGTATGCCTTTATCTGGAGTATGTGGAACAAGGATAGGATGGTTGGAGCTCTAGCAGCCACCTTAGGTAGACTGAGAATGGAATCCTTGAGTGGCTGTGATGGTGTGGCCAAAGGGTAGGATGTAATACATGATGGAAACTGCAGTTGCCCTGATCACTGCTTATATGACATAGAAACAAATGGCTAATTATTATTCCAATTAATTCAGGATTGCTTTACCTAGGTGGGACTCTTGTTTACGCTAAAACCAGCCAGTTTTAATGTAGCTTTATACTAGCTTTATTAAACCATGGCTTATGCTCACAGGTGTTGGTTGGCCCAGCTTATATTGCAATAAGATAACCTTTCTTTGATCTTTTCCACTCAGTCTTTTACAGCAAATTATTTGTAGGTCATAATATTCCAACTAAAAAAATATTTTCTAAGACTCATTATAAAGACCCTGGAGTTAGTCCTTAAGCAACAGCACTGTCAAAAAGAGTCCTTGGAATTTACTTTAAAATCAGAAGGAAGAAAAAAAAAGCCTTCTGATATGAGTTTGTCTGTCCCACTACTTAGAACCATTTTTTTTTTTTTTTGCATTAGTGTCTGTACTGCTTAGCTGGCTTTAGTTCTGTAGCTGTCGGTCTTTGGAATTTATTTGGGATTCTACAGGGCTGCTTCCCTTTGGTTTAAAAAAATTGCCTTAGAGCATGAATATAGATGAATGCCCAGAATATACTTAAACTAAGGCTATAGGATCTAAAACTCCAGTCTGAAAAGATGATCCAGCATTCTCAGTGACTGACTCAGTGTCTGGCTATCTTATCAACTGTGCAGGTGCAGAAATTTATATATCATCAAAACCTGATTGTTCTAGTGGACCTTACACTTAGAAAAAAAGAATCCTCAGAGGCCTAGAGTCTTTTGCATTTAAATTGCAATGGGGATAGGATGGTGAAGATAGACACATACACACACACACACACAAATGTGTATGCACACCCCCCCTACATGACCCATATGCATGAATATTAGAACTCTCACCCAGTGATGTCATTCTGTTTAGTTTCTTTCTTGTCAGCTTCAAAAGGTACAAGAATGAAAAAAGAAAAGTTTTCAAAACCTTCTCAAGGTGTTGAAATGTTCTATGAGGACATGTTTGCCTCTTAGGTCTGGCCTGATTTGGCACAATGGCACCTGGACATTTCAATCTTTAATCTAGCCATACCTCATCCTCTTTCAGTTTGCAGTGATGGTGGAGAAGAACCAGGTCAGAAGTCTGCTTTTCCAGGATGGATTGGTACTGCAGGAGAGAACAATAAGAAGTCTGCAACTCCTCTGTGCGAAACTCCAGTTCTTGCTGCAGAGCCAGAAGTTTCTTCTTCAGTTGCTGGAGTTGTCTCAGATGACACTGTTTAGTAGACCCAAATTCTATCTGGGTATCTCTGAATGTTGACACCTTTACTTGCTTCTTGTTCTACAACACAGCACATACAGAAAGGCTTTAGTGTGTCACCAAGGATGAAGTTGATCTTTGACTTTTTTCATTTGTTCAATCATTTATGTCCACCAATTCACCCTTTTGTCATCCACAGATAACTTAGTAAATGTTTCTTTCTATTCCTAGGAAATGTATCACCATCCTATTCTGTAAGAAACTACAAAAAAGGTTCTTCCCTATCAGAAGCTTATGGTTTGTGGTCAGAATTAAAAAATCATACATGTAAAGGATCTGGAGACTCACAAATAGCATGCTTATAGTTTGCTTTCACATGTGAAAATGACACAATTGACTTGGAAGGAAAGGGGGTAGGAGCTACTGAGAGAATCCAGGCTAGAAAAGATGGTGGTGGGGAACAAGATGGTAACAGTAAAGAGAGGAAGTAGTTGGATTCTAGATATATTGAGTCCTGTTAACCTATTTGATGTCACATGGGGAGAAATTATGGCCATGAAAAGACAAGATTGGGGGAAATTATGGTCATGCAAAGACAAATTATGGTCAGGTCAAGGGTTTGACTTGATGAGTAACTGGAGAGATGGAGTTTTAGTGAGATCACGCTGAGACACAAAAGAGGAAATCTTAGTAAGAGTGAGAGGTGGTAGCATAGATAAGGAAAAGAAGGCCCAGCCCAGCTGTGGACACTGCTGTGTATAGACGAAATGTCTCAAGAGCCTAAAATCTCTTGTCTGAGCAGGCAAGCTGGGGACTTAGGGAAACAGTTATAACTCCCCTCCACCCCCTGAATGTCCTTTGATAGGGTTAATTCAGAAGGGTTTTTAGTGAAACAAATATGTAATAAAATCCCTATCACTTTAGTCAAAATCTTTTTTCTCTTGGCTCTGTTAAAGGGGAATCAATCAATCTGTAAGGACTAAGAGGTTGTCTTCCTGGTATTTCTAGTGATCCAGTGTGACTTCTGATTGGGCACTTCTTCCCTGTAGCTAGACAGGCATGATACAGCTGAAAACAGCTTGTGGTATCCTCCTTCCTATATTTCCTTTGCTTCTCCTTTCCAGCTCCCCGTTTTTCTCTTCATTCTCGAAAGGAATGAGAAATGCATTTTTTCAATTGTTTAAAAGAAGTCAAATTCTCCTCCTTGTACCTGGTATGTTATCTAGACTTTGATGTGCTCAGAGTTACTCTTTGGCTCTCAAATTTCCTGTGGGTAAACCATATCTTTTCCTAAAGACAATTAGGTGGGTATAAAGCTGAGCAGCTTGGCAGTGACACTAATGAATGAGTAATTTCCCATCTTCAGAGGTCCTGTTGAATCTTCTGGATTTAATTTTGGTCTGAGGTAGCACAATGGACACGTCACAATGATGAGAATTTTCTCAACTCTTCCAGCACAGGATAGATATAGTACTTGACCTGATGTGCTTGATTATAAGTATTGATTAGATCTATAGAGGGACTAGAACTCTCAGACAGGAATTTTAAAGATGATTAAAGATTATTATACATAAATACCTATGGGTTTGGAGGAATCAAAATTCAAAAACTTGGAGAAGTTCCTAAGCTCATTTGAGATGTATTAAATTTTTATTTGTCTTTATGAATTTAAATATTTTTATTTCTAAATGAATATAAAAGAATGTCAAGCTATAGATTAAACCCATATTCTCTATATATCACACACATACATATGCCAAAGAACAATTTCATGAAGCTACTAATGTATTTCCTTTTCCTTCTTCCTTCTAAAAACTTGCCGTTTTTCTAGTGGAGACATAGATATTATATTCTTCTTCAACTTTCTTCTTTTTTGGGGGGGATGAGTCCTTGGGCTCGAACTCAATGCCTAGGCCCTTGTTCCTGAGCTTTTATGCTCAAAGCTAGCACTCTACTGTGTAATCTACAGCTTCACTTAAAGTTGTGTGTGTGTGTGTGTGTAATTGGAGATAAGAATCTCACAGACTTTCCTGCCTAGGTTGGCTTTGAACTGCAATCCTCAGATCTCAGTTGCTCGAGTAGCTAGGATTATAGGCATGAGCCATCAGCGCCTGGCTCTTCAACTTTTAAGCTGAGATCTGGAGAAAGTGAGGGAGTGATCTTTATGGAGGTAAGATTAGATACTGGGGTTTGACCTCAGGACCTTACTCTTGTAGTACATGTGCTTTACTACCTTGAACCACATACCAAGAGCCTTTTGTGTTAGTTAGTATTATTATTTTTAGGTAGGAGCATGTGTCTTTTACCTGGACTGGCCTCGAACCACTTCTTCTTACACTTCCTGTGTAACTGGGATGACAGGTGTGTGCCATGGTGCCTAGCTTTTCATATTATTTATTTTAATGAGATGGGGTCTGGCTTGCTTTTTTTTTTTTTTTTTGTTCCAGGCTGGCTTGGATCCATGGTCATTCAGATCTCTGCTTCCTGAGTACCTGGCAGGCACCACTAATGCCTGACAGACTAGTTCTTAAGGTGACTATCCAGAGTTGAATGTGATTCTGGAGTCATCTCCTCTGCCAGTTTCTCGGCTATCTTGGCAGCACCAGATGCCCAAAAGGTGGAGAGCAATGGCTGCTAATAGGAACTTGTTCCCATATTTAGTCAACCTTTCAGCCCTACTTGTGGTCAAAGAGATTATAGCTATTGCTCCTTCCTTGCCTATGTGGCCACTTGATCACAGAAGGAAATTAATTAGCTTGGCACGATTTGCCTTTTGAAAAGTCACATTGGTTTCCACCCAATACTTTGTGCTTTTCAAGTTGATGCTAATTGATTGATGTTAAGTTCTATATTTTCCCTGATATTGAAGTTAAGCTGACAGGTCTATAATTACCAGGATTGTCCTTTTTCCCTTTTTAAAAAGATGAGCACTTCATTTACCCTTTTGGAGTCTACAGGGACTTTCTTTATCCTCTTGAGTTCTCAAAAATAATCGCTAGGAGCTATGTAATAACACCTGCCAATTCTTTAAGTACTCTTAGAAGAATGTCATCGGGCCCTGCTGATTTGCCTAAAGCCAGCTTTTCAAAATACCATTTAACCATTTTATTTCCTATTCAAATTCATATTCTCTTCTGTCATAGGTTGGCATTCTGATAAAGGGAGCCCTGATTATTTTTTTCATTAGGGAATTGATTGTTATTATAAAGGTGATGTACAGGAGGGTTACAGTTACGTGAGCTAGGTAAAGAGTACATTTCTTTTTGGACAATGCCCACCCCTTCTCTCACGCTCTCCTAGCTTTCCCCTCCCATCCTACCCACATGCTATATAGTTCATTTTCAACATAGTGTCTAGTGAGCTGCATTTGTTCACCCTTTGTCGCTCCATTTCTGTGCCCCCACTTGCCATCCTAAAGACAGATAAATGAACAAACATGCCAAAAAGAAAAGGAAACAAGGGGCTGGGAAGGTGGCTCAGTGGTAGAGTGCTTGCTTTGCATGCCTGAGGCCCTGGGTTCGATTCTTCAGCACCACATAAGCAGAAAAAGCCGGAAGTGGCGCTGTGGCTCAAGTGGTAGAGGGCTAGCCTTGAGCTGAAGAGCTGAGGGACAGCGCCCAGGCCCAGAATTCAAGCCCCACGACCGGACCCCCCCCCAAAAAAGAAAAGGAAACAAAAACAGCAACGAAGAGAAAACCTCTTGTTTCTGTTTCCTGGAGTTCATTTAGATAAATGTTATTTTATATGATCTGATGCACATAGGCATTGTGCCTTTGTGTTCCTCTCGTATGAATATCGTCCTTTGGTCTCATCATGTGTGAATGCCATCCTGTATAATTTATTATGTCTCAGTGAATTTTAGATCTAGCTTCTTCACATAAAAGAAAACATGCCCTGTTTGTGTCTCTGAGCTGGGCTTACCTCACTTAAAATGATTTGTTCTGGTTCCATCCATCTCCCTGCAAATGACATAATCTTATTCTCTCTCCCCTCTCTCTCCCCCTCTCTCTTTTGGTGCTGGTTCTACGGCTTGAACTCAGGGTCTGGACTCTATCTCTGATCTTCTTTTGCTCAAGGCTAGCATGCTACCACTTGAGCCACAGCACCCCTTCCAGCCTTTTCTGTTTATGTGGTACTGAGGAATTGAACCCAGGGCTTCATGAATGCTACCACTTCGAGTGCTACTCTATCACTAAGCCACAATCCTACCCCCCTGGCTTTTAAAAAAAGTTTTAGTGGGGATATGAGTCTCACAGACTTCCTTGTCTGGGATGTCTCTGAATCATCATCTTCAGATCTCAGCCTTCTGAGTAGCTAGGATTGATTGCATGTGTAAGTCATGGGCATTTGGTTAAATTTTTATTGGCAGTGCTAGGATTTGAACTCAGGGCCTCATGGGCTGGTACTCTACTACTCAAGCTATATACACTTGGAGCCCTTCTTTCTAATGGCTGTATACAATTCCAATGTGTATAGATACCACATTGTTTTGATTCACTCATGTCTTGTAGGGCATCTGGGCTGTTTCCATACTTTGCTATTGTGAATAGTGCAGCAATAAACACTTACATGCAAGTCTCTTTATGGTATCCTGGCTTGTGATGTTCTGGGTAGATGCCCAGGAGTGGTATGGCTGGATCATAAGGAAGTTATATGTTTAGTTTTTTTTTTTTTTGTCGGTTGTGGGGCCTGAACTCTGGGCCTGGGCGCTGTTCCTCAGCTCTTCAGCTCAAGGATAGCGCTCTACCACTTGAGCCACAGTGCCACGTCCAGCTTTTTCTGCTTATGTGGTGCTGAGGAATCGAACCCAGGGCCTCATGCATGCAAGGCAAGCACTCTGCCACTGAGCCACCTTCCCCACCCATATGTTTAGTTTTTTGAGGAACCTCTAGACTGCTTTGCAGAGTGATTGTACTAGCTTATATTTCCAACAGTGCAGAAAGGTTCCTTTCCCCCCACATCCCCACCAATATTTGTTGATCGAATCGATGATGTTGGCCTATCTAACAGGGGTGAGATGGAATCTCAGAGTTGTTTTGATTTGCATTTCTTTTATGGCTAGGGATGATGAGCATATTCTC